CCTCTAGTATGTGACCGCTCATGAGTTCTCTGTACTTCCTGCAGCATATATCAACGGGGGTACTCACTCGCCCCGACATATGGTTATGGGACCAGAAAACAACAACACTACATACAGGCTGATACAGCACATAAAGTGTGACCTGCAAACCCTCTGGAAGTCCAATACCACCTCGGGGCACGGCACTGATTAAAACGGACCACCTAAATCATCCAAACAACCGCCCACAAATCCAACCGCAGCTGACGCAGGCACATACGAAACGACACAATCTGCAGCAAACCCCCGATCCCCATACCTCGCACAGCTCAAGCACCCATACCATGACGGTGGCGCCAAACGACGTGTCATCGCCGATCAGGACAAACCCACGTCGAACCCTCCACAATATCCGTCCTAAACGACACAATACTGGCCTTCTCCTCCACGACAACGAACCCTGAGCTGCTATCCTCCTCGACATATGTGATGCCATAGACTGGCCACCCCTGACACAACGTTTCTTTACCACGTAACGAACCCACCTCCGAAAAACGATCTACACCTGATCATGGCCGCTGTGTACTCCTCCGTGGTTAATACACAAACGGAAATTCCTACCCCCACAAAAGAAACATGCATTGCATGCAGACACACGCACGATGCCCTCTTCTACCCACCTGGACACCCAATATAAACAGCCCCCAAGAATCCTACACCCCCAATGCTTCCAACCCCACTGCTTACAGAACACATAATGACTGGAAGTGACATAGCCAACCCTCCCAACCCCACACCCACTATCCCCACCTACATTAGTCCCCATCCGCTCTACTTATACCTCTATCCCCTAGTCTTCTCGTTATCTGGCTTGAGTTCGGTGAACACCTCGCCCTCTCACGTCTATATGCTGCTGCCTCTCTTCATCTTCTTCCCATCTCCTGCGTTCATCTCTCACGGACCTGGCACTTGCCAAGCTAGGATCTTGCCCTCCCCTATGCAGATCCTACCGTAAGACCCCCTGAACACTACTGCCGTGCGACTCTCAGCGTACCATCAGCAGTCCACAGTGTTCCTTATTGCTACTGCCGAGCCACGTTCACTGGCTCCTATCTCCGTGAGGCCAGACTACTTCAGCTCCTGGGGCCATTGCGTCCATCGAAGATGCTTCGTCTTCACAAAACCTTGGTCAACAGGTAACCACATGTACCTGTCCCGCAGACTTCTGTACCAACCCCTCCAACGTTCTACTTCTCTTCTCTCCTCTCTGGGAGCCAGGGGCAGACCCTCTGATGAGCTGCTATGGGTGCTAGGCAGCGAAAGGTACTTCAGGGCGTGCTCCCCCCTCCCTACCATGGCTACCTCTGCCTGGTTTTGATAGCTTGTGCTATTTGTTGCTCCCTGCTCCTCTTCCTCCCTCCATCATATCTAAAACTATCCTCGGCAACAAAGCTGTATATTCCCCCATTCTTCGTCGTCTTCACTCAACACTCCCTCCCTCCTTCATACCCCCTTCAGCTTGCTTTCTACTGCTTGCATACTCTTCAAAGTGCTTCAGTGGAACAGCGTCTGTGTTACATGCCCGGTTGGGCAATGTACATATAAACCGAGGATCCGCAATGTGATAAAAAGGACTGAATGGACAATACTGTGCAAGTGGAATCTCAACTAGCAATGTGCATTCCAATACATACAAAATGGTGTCGAATAGCGCAGGGAAGATGTAGATACAAGACCTGACCTGACCGAGACTGACCTTTATCACATAGTGCAAGATCGCGAAGCAGAATGCTAGAATACTGATGACTAACCCAATCAATGTTTCATCGTAGACCAAACATACATCATGCTCATCACAAGGTGTGAAGGAGCCTGGCGCTGTACACAGGAAGGAAGCGCCAGGTCCAGACATACACAGACGAAGAGGAGGGAATCAGACGAAGAGGAGAGGGAGAGATGGGAATGTCGTCAACACCAAGTCTTTGTCACAAGTCCCAAATAATCCCTCATTGCAATGTCTGAAGTCCAAAAGTCGAGTCTGGATCCAATGTCACCAAGCTCTTTCTCTCTTCTCTCGTAGTCTGAAGATGCAGTGAAGTCAGATGATGAGAGGGGGAGAGGGAGATGGTGGACTGAGAAGAGGAAGAAGAAGAACTCTCTCTCTCTGTTACAAGCCAGGTACTAACCTGTGAAGTTGGCGCTGTGCTGCAGGTACCTTGTAGACGAAGCTGGAGCAACGGCGCTGCAGGTAAGTACCTCTGGCCTCCGCCCAATCTCTCTCTCTCTCTAGTACTATCCTAGCTATGGCACCCAGCGCTGGAGACTACAGCTACCTACTGCGCCCAGCGCTGAGGACTAAGGCTAACGCTACTACTACTCCTGCAGCGCTCCCTCCAGAGTGCTGCGGCCGAATCCTGAAGACTACTGCCTCCTGCCTGAACTGCACGTGAAGTGCCTGGCCAGTCCTTATGAACTACCTGCCTGCCTGTAGGGCGGGCCAGTCTTATATAGTGCTGGCCCGTCCAGGAGGCTGCCCTTGCCAATGCCCAAACGTGCTAGACCCTGAGGAAACTTC